GCAAATTTCTTCATCTTTACCTTACTATCTGGTAGCCAAGCACTTTAAGCATTAAATGGAAACTTGTAGATTTGCAATTACATCCATTGGCATAGGGTTTACTATGTCAATTCAAATAATAATTACATGAATAACTTTTTGTGAGGTTTATAGGACCTTTGTTACTATCTTTGGAGTCACAAAATCTGTCCAGGAATACGATAAACTTGACTTTGCTGTCACCATTTCACAGTAGGTTAAATGTCCAGTCACCATATTCTTAAAGCCCAAAGCTATGTTTTCACTGACAAAATTGAGCTTGAATTATTTGGCTCATTTTCTAATGTGAGCCATAAAAGCAGACAGCATAAATGCTTCAATGTGCTTTTTTGCATTTCTACAACCTAAAACCAGTTTGGTTGAAAAAAAAATAAAATTTAACAGCCTTTAATTTGTCATGTGGAATCTGATACCATGTGCATTTTATTACCTCCATATATTTATCTAAGTGAAACATAAAATGGTTGTAATAATGGAGAATTTAAAGTAGCTTTGGCACATGAGCAGTAATGCTAACTAATATGGTGAATAAGGGCTGAATGTAAATTCTCAGAATTTCTGTTTCTTGTGCTATGTTTGCTAACGTGAGTATATCTTGGATAACTGATAGAAACACACATAATCCTAATTAAGCTGTGAAGAACTTTGATGGACATAATGTAAATACAGGGAATAATCATTTCTATACAAGCCAAAGCCTTGTGTGTGTGTGTGTGTGTGTGTGTGTATATATATATAAATTTTCAAACTACAATACAGTGTACATTAAATCACAGAACCTGCCAAAATATAAACCCATTATCTCTTTGTATGCTGAATTAAGACTCTGGTATTCTCATCTATGCATTCAGAGATAATCTACGTATGGCATATATCAGTATAATCAAATATCACCAGTTCCTATTGATTCTACCTCATTTATAGCTCTTGAATTGAACCCTTTTCCATTTCTGTTGCCATTTGGTTAGGCCTTCAATTATATTTTATATGAATTATTCCAATAACTACAGTTCTCTTAATGAGACCAGCATTTCAACCCTCCAGCCCATTTTTGTGTTTTTGCCATATTTGTTTGCCCATAAAACAAAGTTCACCATGTCACCCCTCTGCTAATAAACTTCTGTCAGCTTCTTCTTAATCCATAAGATCAAGTCTAAAACCATTAACTTGACTTACGTGTTCTGAAACAGACCCTACCACACTTGTTAGTCTGTATTCAGCCTACTCTTAAAATCATACAGCACTCCCAAATGTGCACAGAACTTGTCTATTCTTCCTTCTCTGCTTGCCTTCTACTACTTATTCATTCACATGCTACCTTTTATTCTAAAGCTTGCAGGACTCTTGAGATAAAATTAGTTGAATCATTGAAGTGTGTTCCTCCTACAATAGTTGGCTCATATTTCATTTAGAAATTATATTTATTATATTTTATAATAGACCAATGTTTTTATGTTCAGCTTTATTGAGGTACAAATCACCTGAAAATTACATATATTCAAGATTTGTTTTACTATTTTTTTATTTTAGTCATTCTGATAAGTGTGGGGTGATATTTCATTGTGGTTTTAACTTGTATTTCTTTAAAAGCTAATGTTGTTGAGCATCTTTACACGTTTTTTTTTTTTTTTCCCATCTGTATATCTATTTTGGTGAAATGTCTGTTTATGTCTTTTCTTTCTTTCTAATTAAATTGTTTGGGTTGTTTTTACTGTCAAGTCATCAGAGTTCTCTATATATTCTAAATACTAGTCCTTTGCTATGATGCATTCATATCGTATACTACTACTCAGTGATAAAAGAAACTGTTGATACATGAAACAACTTGGATGAATCTAAGTGAGAAATTCAAATGCCAAAATTTGCTTATTATATAAGTCCACTTATATCCATTCTTGAAATAAAAAAATATATATATAGAACTGGATGACAGATTAGTGGTCATCAGAGTAAAGGAGGGAGTGGGGGCAAGTGGAAGTGGATGTGGTTATAAAAGGGCAACATGAGAGAACCTAAGGGAACCTTGTGGTGATGGGAATGTTCTGCATCTTGACTGTGTCAATGTCAGCACTGTGGTTGTCCTGTTGTACTAGTTTGCAAGATATTTTCATTGGGGGAAACTGTAATGGGCACATTGGACTCCTCTGTGTTACTTTTTACAATTGCACCTGAATTTAAAATTATCTCAAAATAACGTCTACTTATTATTCTCCAGCTTTATTAAGGTATAATTTACAAATAAAAATTGTATATATTCAAGATGTACATTATGTTTTCATATATTGTGAAATAATTATCACAATGAAGCTAATTACATATCCATCACTTCATGAAGTAACTTTTTGTGGTGAGAATATGTAAAATCTACTTTTCTAGTTAATTTCAAATATATAATACATTATTTTCCCCCTTGCTACCATACATTAATTATAGCCATCATACTGTACATTAGGTCTCCAAAACTTACTCATCTTATAACTGTAAGTTTGTATCCTTTGACCAACATTTCCTTATTTCCCTCCATCCTTGACCCCTGATAACCACAGTTGTACTCTTTGCTTCTATGTATTTGACTTTTTTTGATTCTGCATATAAGTGAGATCATGCAAGATTTGTCTTTATGTTCTGGTTTCCTTCACTTAGCATAAGGTCCAAGAAGTTCATCTATGTTGCAACAAATGGCAAGATCTCCTTCTTTTTTAAGGCTGAATAATATTCTGAGGGGTGTGTGTGCGCGCGCGCACGTGTGTGTGTACATATATCCATTGACAGACTCTTAGGTTGTTCATTTATCTTGGTGATTGTGAATAATGCTTCAATGAACATAGGAGTGCAGACACCTCTTTGAGGTACTGATTTCATTTCTTTGGGGTATATATACAGAAGAGAGATTGCTGGATCATATGGTTGTTCTATTTTTTAATTATTTTAGGAAACATAGTGCTGTTTTCCATAATGGCTATAGAAATTTATATTCTCACTAACAGTATACAAATGTTCCCTTTTCTCCACACCCTTGCCAGTACTTGTTATCTGAGGTGTTTTTGAAAATAGCCATCCTAACAAAAAAAGAGGTGATATCTAATTGTGGTTTTGAGACAGTATAGGGAAGAGACTCAGTCCTGGCAAATAAAGGACATAATAACCAAGATCCCAGTGAGCCTCACATGTCCAGGCATACTCCCTCCAGTACCTTCCTGCCTCCCTTAACAAACTGATATGCCCATAAATTTATAACATTCTGAGCTCCTTGGGGACAAAGGTAACTGCATTTATATTTGTATCTTTAGTGCTTAACACAGTGAATGTTCTCATTAAACTTTTGTTGAATGAATGAATGAATCCTGGAAGATCCGGAGAAAAGAATAACACAAAAATGTTATTAGGAAGTTGCTGAATATAGAAAGACTATTCCAACAGTCATAACGTATTCATTAAGAATGTCTTCAGACCTCTTTGTTTAAACCAATCTTTTTCTCGCCATCTACAGAATGATATGTTTTTCATCAGAATGATAAATCTCAATAGCAAAATATTTTAATTTTACATGACTTTAGCGTATAAATTTACAAAAGAATATTGATTCTATAAAATAGACATTTACATTAATTTAATATAGACTCGTATGTAGATACAGGCCCATAGATCTTGTCATTAAATGTTTACCTCCTACCAATCTCACTAACTATAATCTATTTACATCTGCTCACATATATGAAATCAGGCCATAAACTAGTCAAATATTCTCTGGAAAAGATTAAAGATTCATGGTGCTAGAATACTATGAAACTTATACTGATCTTCAGATTACTGGCCTGAATATGACTGATTCATGAAGGGATTGTGAATTTTGTAAGCAAATAAAACCTTGTGAAAGCCTAAACATTATTGACTATGTTTAGATAGATAATTTAACATTACTTTGTATTTTATAATTTTAAATCAGAGAACTCTGCATAATAAGAAGCACTCTATTGGGTTTAACATAGCATAATAATAAGCACTCTATTGGGTTTAACATAGCATAATAATAAGCACTCTATTAGGTTTAATGTCATTTTCCAAACCAATAATAGGCTTGAATTAAGTAGTAAGGCCCTTGCCAAATGTCTTTTTAATTGTCAAAATGTTTTACATTCTAATGTAAGAAGCAGATATCAATATTTATAAGTCAAACAGAATACTTCAATTTGATATGAGAGACATACTCGAATACCATAACAAAAACTTCTTTGTTTCATTTCTATGTGTGAAAATATCTGTCACTTACATGTATTGTCTTCTAATTGAGGGCATGATCACTATTAGAATTATGTATAATCAAATATTGCATTTTTTCACAAGAACAAAGTTTCAAATCCAATCCTAGATAATATAAAAATCTATTTGACCTTTGTAAAATTACATTCAGTGATAACAAATTTAATTACCTCGTATAAAAAGCCAAAAATATCATCAAGTCATAGAAGAAAATAAATTTTGAGTCTTTTACTTTAAGATTAAATACTGAAATTATTTTAATTATATTTTCTTTGCAACTTTTATTGATATAATATTATTATATTCTTAGTTTTTTTATTCTATATTAGTTCTTGAAAAAACTAAAAATACTTTATGCTGTATCATAATTTCCCACTATTGCACACTCTTCACTTGTTGCCTAAGAACAAGCTAAGAATCATGAGCATTAAAACCATTTTTTAAAATGTGATGAACCAATAAAAAATTAAAGGTGCACTTGAGTCTGCTAGATCAACACATTCTTATAATCCCCTCAAGGCCATCATACAGTTTGGCATCAACATTAAAGCTTTGAAAATTATATGACCATCTATTACATTTTAGATGTCACATGTCCTCAGACCGTTTCTATTATAACACAAAACAGAGTTACACCATTTTTTAAAAGATCCCTCTGTTGTTGATAGTTGTCTAAGGTGCTTCTTCCTTTTCTTTTTCAGAATGAAGAATAAATTTTGGTATTTTGAGTTTGGCACATCTGAAACTTTCTCAGCCACCTGCAAGAAGCTACATGAATCTGTAGAAATAGAAGTAAGAAAAAAATGAATTCTCTTTTGTAATACAATGAAATGGCTTGAGCTTGGTTGTTAGTATGTTTGCATTGGAGCCCATGGAATGAAATATATATTAGCAATCCACAGAGACTTACTCAAGATTTTAAATTGTCATTTCATTCACTCATTTGGAATATAGCACTATCTGACATATTAAAGTTAAGTGTAGATATGGGTTGTTTTATGATAGTATAAAAGAATGAGAAGTGGAACACAACTTTGGAAATCGATGCAGTTGTTACTGGGCATAGTGCAGCTAGAAAGGTATAAGATAAAAGCAGCTGAAAAGAAAAAAGTTGCAGAATACATAAAAAATATTATTTTCGGGTCTCAATATCGTATAACCTTTAAAACACAGTTTGCTAAAATTGTACTTACTTTTATGAATAAAGGTTAAAAAGTATACTTTTCCATTCCATTCCCATTCATTAACTAGGTTTTCTCAGTTCCCAAGGTTGCCATTTCCCCATTACATTTATAGAAAGTGGAAATGCCAAGAAAGAGAGCAAAGATAGCAAGAAAAGACACATTTTTAAAAGACTTGGAGCAAATAGGTCTATAAAAAAAAAAGACACTGTAGGACTCACAATTTTGGAGAAATATTATAAAAGAAAATGACTGCGTTATATTGAGAGATTTTCAGGGGTCAAAGAAAAAAGAAAAGTTGTATTTTGATAAATGATAAAGACAAAACCAGAAGAATAGAATTATGAAACATGAACACTTAATGACTAGTTGATATAAATTAAGAAACATTGGCTTCAACGCTTTTCATTTTAAAAATAAATGCAAAAATTTGCTACTGATACTTAAATCATTAGTTGCTTATATTCAGGTAATAAGTTTGGTAAACAGAAGTAGTTATGGACCACATAATGGCCTGACTAGGTCCTTCATTATCCTAACTTTCCAATTTGCTGTTATTAATACTACTACTACTCTCAGTGTAACCTTTTAGCACTTTTATCTCATCATGATTGGTAAACATAATTAAGTATTAGAATTGATGGTCACTGAATGGGAACAAACCCTTCATAATGGGATCAGATCATAACCTTTGAAAGGAACATAATAACAGAGGTGAAGGATTTGGGTTCAACATGGACTTTCTGTTATTACTATTTAGGATGATATATCTGTGTATATGTATGATATATGTACACATATAACTGTATACAAAAATGATATATATAACACATATATAACTATATACATGTATATCTATGTAACTATATATGTACTACAGTTACATATTTAGTTATATATTATATATGACATATAACTACATAGTTAAATATTTAGTATATATAGTTATGTGTCATATGTATTTTTATATACATATAAATATTTATGTGTATACATATTCAATAAAATATATACATTCCCCCTTTACTCTGAGAATCATTGTTTTTTTAAAAAACTGCTTTATATACTAGATTTTAAGTATTTCTTAACCTCAAAAATTATGCTCAAATACAATTTGCAGCAGAAGCTGAAAAGTTTTAGAAAAATTAGAAGTATGGCTTTGGTTGAATGTACGTGGAGATCCTGAATCCTCCTGCACCTCCCTTTACTTTATTCTACCCTTGAGCACAGATTGAAAAGCCGTTGATCTATAAAATAAGATTCTATGTGTCACAAAGTAAAAAAAACAAACAAACCAACAAAAATCTTTAAGTGTTGTATTTACAGCAAAATATTTTGAATGAAAATACATTTGAAAATGGTGATTTGTAATGTGATAAATAATGATAAAATTAAGTGGTTTTGATCCACAGAGCTTGAGATCTTAAACTATTTAGAATGTTCTCCAAGAAATCTGGGTCTATAGAACTAAGTTATGTTTCTTGGAGTGCTGTTTCCACTTACTCTCTCAACCTGGCCTTGTAGCTCTGCATCCCTGGCTTATTTTGGGTGCTATTACATAATATTTATAAATCACAGCTGGCACTGTGTGCATGCCCCCTTGTATTTTTGCATATCTTGGGGTGTGTGTGTGTGTGTGTGTGTGTGTGTGTGTGTGTGTATGAATAGCAAGGCAAAATCTGCTTCTCTGCTCACTTTTTAATGAATCCTGTCTATCATATTAGCAGAATATGCCTTTCTACCCTCAAGGTTAGTTTATAATTAAATATAACAAAAACAGCAATTTGAAGATTTGATTCTGTTTGTTGTTGCTTCCTATTTGTCCTAAAATTATACCTACTATGGTTTGAAAAATATATAACAGAATAAACTACTTCAGTAAAAACAGAACCTCCAGCAATAGATACGTGTTTTATAGGCAGCTTTTTCAAAATCAAACTCTCTTTTGTATGTCTTTTTTATTTAATATTTCTCTTTCACATATGAGTTCCTTCGAAAGAGGGCAGACATTTGGGTTGATATGACTATCATGGAATAATAGTTAAGATTTACCTATTATTAACTGCTTCACAGGTGATGCTAAACAATGCACATATATTATTTGATTTAGTCTTCATCAAAACCTTATGATACTATTATATCTCCATTGCAGAGATAAACATTTTCTTCAGTAATTTAAGAGAAATAAGAATTATGTTGCTGCCACAATCTTTAAATCTAATGAGCAAATTGATTGAAAAATATACATATTTACACATATATGTAGAGTTAATGATACATAAAGTAGAATTTTTAAAAAATATTCGTTTATCTTCTAACTTTATTACAAAAGATAAAAATAAATTTTTTAAAGTTACAAGAAAAATATTTTAAAACCGATGTTTATATTAAAGTATTTGTGCGGGGGGGAGGTGAAATGTGTGCCTAAGAAACTCAGGTCAGCATTTGGAATTGAAGATATAGAGTTCATGAATGTTTAGTTTGCTCAGAGTACTGGGCAAAGTTAATGAGAGAATAAGAAAGCCTATTCTATAGATATTTCAGTCTTCTGGTTGACAGGGAGACTGGGAAAGATGGTAAATTTTAAAGCCAAGAATTTCCATCCCAAAATACTGATTTATTGTAATTATTAAATACTCCTAGAAACCTAAATGATCTCGAGAATTAATAAATGGCATGAGTAGCATCAAAAACACAAAATAAATTAGCAGGATTCAAAAGACAATTGCTCAGTAACCTGGAAAACAGAGTTCTTAAAGGCAATAGCCAGAATTCCCAAGCACAGTCTCTGCCCTATGTGTCCTAATACCGAAATTACCTATAAAATAATGTTTTAGGTTTCATCGAGTAAAAATAGAAATTTTTATCTGATATAGACATAGAATCAGACCCACTATGGAAAAAAATTACAGTTTATCATTAATTGTATCTCATCACATTTACCATCCATACTCCAAAGTTCTTCACATGTTTTAAATAGTCCTATCAACTGACATGTTAAGTGGATCTGAAACACTAAAGTCACATATAAAGCTTGTTTTTAACACCTCTGTACAATGTGACTCAGGACTCATATACATGGATTAAAACACATTGGCAGAAAAACTGAAACTGTCTTTTCTTTTAGATAAATTTGTCTCTGGAATAAGATCTTCCATTTTAAAACTGAAAAGAGTGGACAATGGCATCACAGCCTTGCACTCTATAAATAGCTCCCATAGTACTATATGTTAACGACCTTTTTTCTACCTAATAAAAATACTCAGGATTTATTGACTAACTGAGGCTGTTAGCTTTTAAGCTTTTATATTCTTTTCCTCTGTAGCTACCTTTTTAAAAGTCATAAATCTCAAAGGGAATGAAAATATTATCTGACACAGTACTATAACTTGTTTATATTTCATAGCCTTCACCTCAGCTTTTATTTTCATGCACTCAACTGGTGTGCTACAATTACTGGTCTCCATCAGAACCAGCACTGAAATTTTCCAGACTAATGAACATAACGTTAAAGCAAACAGAGTAAGGTAGCCTGGGGTCAAGAACAAGTGGAAACAAATCATTAATAAATAGCAATTTATTTAAGTACATTGTCCTGCTCTCAAAGGAACGTCAATGTTCTTCATCAGTCCTTGTTCTTTGTGACTCTTTCAGAATTTTTTTTTTTCACTTCTCAGAGAGCTACTTACTCTGTTTCCCTAAAACTAAACATGACAAGACTCTGAAGAGTGAAAACATGAATAATGGCATACACTGATGTTTTTCAATTGTCACATGTAACTCAGCTGCTTCAATTTTTTTTTTTTTTTTTAAAGAAGCCTCTTTGCAACATGCCCTCCTTTTCTGCAGATGAACAAAGGAATCCTCCTTCACTAATTCTGAAAGTAACTTGTCACAGTGGGGTTCTAAGGCCTAGTCAAATAATTGTCTTAGTGTACTACCTGCTGTGTTCAATATTGAGTGAAAATGGAAGCCAGGCCCCGACTCCAGCTTATTTCATGATTCTTCTGTTATTTAAATGATTTTAGTCAGTTTGGGGGAAGCCAGACCTTTATAAATTAACAGCAGGGAAATACCAAAGGTGTCAGATTGCATATTTATCATCTTTTTCGTGTAATACTTAAATATGTATTAAGAAGTGACTGACATAAATTAGGCAGATTTCAGAAGCCACAGGCCGTGGCTTGTAGAGGACCCCCTTCTGCTTGACATTTCATCCTTGTCAAAGATCAAATTATTTTAATTTAGGCTGCAAATTATAAGGAATGAAGACTTCTTTGTGGGAATTCCCTGTGGTAATCTGACTTTTGTTGTTACTGCTGCTTGTCAGTGTGCAAAAGATATAATATGCATGCAAATAAGGTTAAAAAATATGTACTATCTAATTATCCAGCCAGTACATTCCACTTGAAGACAGTGGGAGGCCTGACACACAGTATGTGTTTGATTCATTGAGGCCTGCAGGGTATTTACACAAGATTACTTTTAATTATGAAATTAATATCTGTTTATCTAGAATATATAGCGGTAAGTGAGTATACACATGACCAGAATTCTTTAGTAAAAGGAAATCATCTTAATTTAGCACAAGAAAAGGAGGAAAAAAGCACTGCTTTCTGGGGGTGGGGGGGGAAGCATCATCCAGATCTTGGTTTCGCCCTCATTGAAACAAATTAAATGAAACCTTGGCACTTTCTCTAGAATTTGTTTCTACCCCTGCCAAGGAGTCTCAAGATGTGTTTCTTTATTTCACAGTTTTTATTTTTCGGTGAACAAGATGCAATCCTAGCTTCAGTATGATGAGGCGAATGTGGAAAAAGAGAGGGCTTTTTTTGTTTTGTTTTGTTTATTTTTCATCATTTTCATGGAACGTTGTGTCTTCTGAGTTCAAAAATCATGACTGCCATGAGAAATGATGAAGTTAGTGTCAATAGCTTTTTCTGTACTAAGACATGGCAAATGAAATAATGCCACTGCAAACATATTTCAGTTTAGGAAATGCATATCCCTCACAAAATTCTTTTAAAAACAAAGTGCTTTTATCTCTTTTCATATTCACTTATAATTGAAAATGGGATAATTTCTAGAATGTATAATAATAACTAGCATTTTAGAGAAGACAAATGAATAAATAGTAATTTTAAAAATACAGAATAATCTTGTCACTGTCCACATATGTCCATTAGTGGAAATGAATGGAAAATCCAAAAAACTAAAAAGTGACCGCTCTGAATATAACAAAACGTTGTTAGTGAATTTTACATTTTTCATAATCACCAGGGTGTTTTGTCACTAGGAATTTAAGAAAAAATGGGCTGATTAACCTTCTTTCTTTTTAAACCCATTTTTGAAGCAGCTATAAAATCATGCTGGATTGAAGGTCTTTTAACTGCTACTCCTATTTCCCTCACTCAATCTGCCCGGTCCTCCATATTCATTTGGACAACTGTGCCTCTCATGGCCTTTGACATCTGCTTAGGACTTCATCTAGTCCAAGAAGTCATCCTTGGTAAATTCAGTGTGATTGAAATCTCTCAGAATCACTGTTTTGAATTTTACTTTTTTTTTTTAAACAAAAGTATTTTAAGCTACTTCTTTCTCTGCCCCAAAGGTGTGAGACCAGGAGGCATCAATTTTGTTTCTTTACTTTCCCCCAATAGTACCTTGCAGTGTGTTCTAAATAGGGGCAGTCATCACAATTTCTTCCTAAAATTTGACCATAGTTTCCAGAATTAACCTTTGTGTAATACATTAGAAACTTGCAGCTGGTCAAATATATATGCAGATACTAACAAGTCTCTCCCAAAGGTTTTCTACAAACAAAGATATACTGGTGACTTAATTTGATCATTTTTAAGGACTACTAGAGATTGTTAGGGGCTATTTCATCTTTTATATTGACTCAGGGTAAGTGTTTAACTGTTCTTGAAAGCCTTGTGCAGAAATGACAACATTATGGATTTCAATGCTCTTATTAAAAGATAAGGAAATGAAAAAGAAGAAATCAGGGAAATAAATATAAAATATTTTACTGTTTCCGTTTCTTTCTTTTTACCCATCAGTGTGATGGAGTACAGATAGATTTAATAAACATCTCTCTGGAAGGAATTGCTATTTTGAATATACCAAGCATGCATGGAGGATCCAATCTTTGGGGAGAGTCTAAGAAAAGACGAAGCCATCGACGAATAGAGAAAAAAGGGTCTGACAAAAGGACCACCGTCACAGATGCCAAAGAGTTGAAGTTTGCAAGTCAAGGTCAGTTTTCTAACAATTAATTGTTAAATTGCTTGTTAACCTGCTTTCAAAGTCTTCTTTAAAAGTTAAGAGTTTTCCATTGCACTATAGTAATATATATATTTTTACAGTTGTATTTTTGATATTATGAGATACCCATGTGTGATTAACTTATATCACAATAGATTATAACTCAAGTATAAATTGGCTACATTTTTCATTATTCTTTGTATATAGCTCTTCCCACAGAAAATAAAATACATTTGGGGTATTTCATGGATAATAAAATAGAAGATATTATACATTAAGCTCTTCTGAAATGTGATTGTCTTAAATAGGACATTTGAGTTGCTGGAATAAGGACCTAGTTAAGGCTTTTCTAAGGTTGTGTTATAAGAGATTTTGTTCTTTTATGCTTTGGTCAGGCTATGAGATTGAAGGTATTTTACATAGCTGTTGTTCTAAGTTCCACATATAACAGAATGTTTAAATATCCCATGATAAATTTTGGTTATCTGCTGAATTTTTCCAGAAAGTTAGTAACAAGTAGGAGACCTGGGAAACAGACAGCAAAGACCTAAAAAAATAGACTATACTAACTATGGGTCGGAATTTTCAACTCTATTATAATATAGTTCTCATTGGGACATGATAGCTAATTCTTAAAGATTTTATAAACTAAGATATCAATGTGATATTCTGATAACTAATCATGTCCCAATAGTTTATGTATATAATTCTACAATATCATTTTTACCTTCTAGAATTTACCTAATACTATTGATGACACTGAGAAATCAAAACATGTTGTCTCAGCTCAGTGTACCAAGGACAAAATATGAAGATTTCAGTGTTAATAGACTAATATAAATAAATTACTAAAAAATGAAATAGAATAAAGTGAGAAAATGGTTGGTGGGCTTTATGGTGGTGGGCAATAGCTTTATGTTTTGGTGTCTTTGAGTACCTGGTTCAAGTTTCAGTAACAGGCAGTGACTTCTGTTATATAAAATTTGGTACCATGAAAGTGAAAAAGATTGATGGAGAAAGTGTTAGGTATTCTCTTGAAAGAAATGCTTATCACAGCCTGCCAATGACAAGTGGTTCTGATGCCCTTAAAATGTGTAAGCAATCTTGGAGAACTGTATTAGTACAAGCAAGTTTATAACAAATCAATTAAAAATTATATACTCAAAATATAACTATGAAAATATGAAGGAAAATAATATTTTGAAGGAGAAATATAGAGAAAAAATGAGAGGTTTGTGCTATATGAATTAGAGGAGGAAAATAAACATAATTATTAATTTCTAGAAGTTATTGACATTAATTTATATTTGTATTTAAATATACATTTAAATATAAAATTAGATTTCTTAAAAGGGTAGTGAAAAATTCTAAGTATTGGAATTAGCTTAAGGATCATACTAAGACCAAACTTAAAAAACTCTTTTGTAATCGTGTAGGCTGTATTATTAGGTACCACATATGTACTCCTTGCTTCCTTCCTTAAAACTATTTTTACTAAATAATATATACAAAATAATTTCCAGGTTAAGTTTTCTGTTTGGTCACTACATCCCAATACTTGTTGGTATGTCATTCTACACATTCCCGATACTTATACAAATTGATTCTCAATGGCTCAGCTGCCAACTACATTCACCGAGTTGCCAAACATTTCTTAGATACACGACTGTGCTTCACCCAAACACATGTCTGTACATTCTGGAGCTGCTGCATACATGTCATTTACCTGGGCTCACTCACCCTCCTTTGTATGATTTTTTTCAGGAACACACATTTAGAATAAACTACAGACAAACCAGACTCAAATATTGTCATAGGCTGTCAGCGCCTGTAACTATTGGAAAAGCGCTCTCTTCCCTTTCTGTCTTCTTTCTTTCTACTGTGGAACTATTAGAACCAATTTCCCATAAATACTGGGAAATGAGGAAGTGAGAATATATAGGCCTGGTGACTCAGTAATACATTTTTCTCAGTACACAGATGGGAAAAAGTTAAAAAACAGTAGAGCTCCGAGAGGTTTCAAAGGTCATTATATGAGCAAAAACAGAAGTATGGTAGGCTCAATTTTTGCTCCCTGACTTAACTGACTAGCTTATAGTTTTGATTTAGTATTATTTCAGGATAAATATAATCTCAGAACCAAGAATGGCCTTTTGAGTTGATCATTTTTTAAAAACCTGTAATATATTAGTCTTTTCTTTTTAGCGATTTCAGTATTGTTTTCACTTTGAGATATTTTGCAACAGAATACCAAAAGTATCTCAGAATGCTTCTAAGTTTTGATTTCATATTTATTCTGCTAATTCTTCAATGTTATACTTAATAGTCAAAAACAAAATTTGCTACTGAGTTAGTCACATTTACCCCTTTCCTAAATAGTAATATTTCTATCACTTGATTTTGTTCTCAATTTCTTGACACAAAAACAGCGATAGGGCAGGCATGGTGGCTCACACATGCAATCCTCACACTTTGGGAGGCCAAGGTAGGAGGATCACTTGAAGCCGGGAGTTCAAGCCCAGCCTAGGCAACATACTGGGAAAGGAGGAAATAGAATAGCACCTAGTGGGTAGCACAGGCCTACAGTCCCAACTACTCAGAAGGCTGAGGAGGGACAATCCCTTGACCCCAGGAGTTCAAGACTGCAGTGAGCTATAATTGAGCCATTACACTTCAGCCTGGACAATGAAGCAAGGACTCTGTCTCTAAAAACAACAACAACAACAACAACAACAACAACAAAAAGCAATAGTATTAAATCTGAGGATCAATCAGTATTTCAAATTTAAATGTATTTCAAACTCACACAAAATTATTATAAGCACTGACTTTAGAATGAATATGGCCAATATGGCTCTAGTCCAACTCATTTTTAACTTACAATAAAATTAATAACTTTCATTGTTAGAAAATACATGAAATGAAATGAAAAACTTAATAATGTAATTTTCTTCTTGTTCTTTCTTAAAATATTAACTAACACTGTTTCTCATATGCCTCTGTAAAAAATCATCAGAAGTTTCAACTAAATTTTTACACTGTTGAAATAGATACTTGCTTTCATAAACTTTAGTTTCTTTTGGAAGGGGAGAAAATGGGGGAAGCATATAACTAAATTCATGTAATAAATGTACTTATTTTATTTAATAAAAGGATTTAATTTGTTTTAAGTTTACTCTTTTAATTTAAAGAAGTATCATAGTCCAAAGGTATGAGATCAGGTTTGGATCATTAAGTCCGTATTTATACTAAACCATACATAATCTGGGACTTATGCATAATTTATTTGCTTGCAATCTTTGAAGACACTCACATAATAAAATCAGAATATCTTCAATAAGTTCATTGGTTGGAAATTTTACTGATTACTTTAGAGTTGACAAAATTATAAGTAATTCATTTAATTACATTATTCCAGCAAAATATTCTAAAATAGTTGGATGCAATTCTGAAACATATTCACATTCACACTCAACTAATGCAGTAGACATTTTCTTTCTGTGCATATGTGATTGTAAATACAAATAAATGTATTATATGTAGATGGCATAGTCTTGAAGCAAAACTGTAAACTAGGCCAAATTAGTCTTCAGTTCTCTTAGCTTTAACATTCGATCTTTCCCATGTCTTTCAGTGACTGAGTTCATCTTTTTCTCCCCCTCTTCTGAATTAAACTCAGAAAGATGTCTAATAAATTCATTCACATTAATGTATAAATGACTGATTGCAGATGAAAGTAGAGGTATTTGCATTTTAAAAGATATAAAGGCCTTCAGCTAAAACATTATTTTTCAAACTGTATTCCACTGAGTTATAACTGCAATTCTTCAGCAGTTCTGTAATAAATGTAACAAAAAATTCATTGCCAGATTTGGGGACAATAAAAAAAATCTATAATAAAAAATATATTTATCATATTAACAGTTATCAAATCATTAACTTGTGTTACTAGACAAAAACAACTTCTCCTCTTCCTCCTCTTTTTTCTCTCTATATAGGTAGATGAATATATAGATAGTTATACATACCCATACACACACACGTATATATATGCATATAAAGAAATGAATAACTGGCATTCACTGGAAAGTCTGTCGATCTGCAATGGACATTTAAAAATATGTTTCTGCACATTTCGTGAGAAATACTGTGCAAATGGGCACATTAGCACTACAGTGCATGGGAACCACATGCAATTAAAAGGCCAGCAAATTCAGCTACTTTGGCATGTCACAAGCACCAAACAACATATGGCAATCAGTGTACATGAAAACAAAGTGACAATACCTAAATGAAAATGTGGACCACCATAAGATGTATTTTTCTTCATAAAGAAATTGTATCAGTTAACTAACTCCCCCAAATATTAATAATTTTGTACTGGCTTATATATCAAGCACACTTTTATCAGAGAAGATTTAAATATGCTCACAACTGCATGTAAGGAGCCAGCAAATGACATTGGAGCATTTCAGGTATGTACGCAGAATAAAATAAATTTGACTAATTGAAGCTTTGCAGTTCAATTCAATTCAATGACACAGCAAGTATCATTATGTCATGAATTTGTTTTGTCGAAGGTGAAAAATTCTGTTAAAAAGATACTTTCGAAAAGTATGTTTTAACCAAGAGTGAGGACCTCTCAAGGAATATGAATCAATATAGTTATTCTAATTGATTTAGCTTTGAAGATCCAAGTCCAACTATTCCAGTTTTCGGTAGTGGAAACAGAATGGTTCAATATGGCTGAAAAGCAACACATTCATACTATTTAATTATATATATGTGTGTATCAGGATATTGCCAATACCACAAAACCAAAACAAAGTGCAGGAATCTATGAAAAATAAGATATTATCGCATTGCAATTGTCTTCATCAAAATAGATCCATATTCTCACAGATTGACTGTGGGTTTTTTGTTGTTGTTGTTTGTTTGCTTTGTTTTGTTTTGAGACGGAGTCTCACTCTGTTGCCTAGGGTGGAGTGCAGTGGTGCTGTCTCAGCTCACTGCAAGCTCCACCTCCCAGGTTCACACCATTCTCCCGCCTCAGCCTCCAGAGTAGCTGGGACAGGCGCCTGCCACCATGCCCAGCTAATTTTGTTTTTGTATTTTTAGTAGAGGCAGGTTTCACCAGGTTAGCCAGATGGTCTCGATCTCCTGACCTCACGATTCACCCTCCTCGGCCTCCCAAAGTGCTGAGATTACAGGCGTGAGCCACCGCGCCTGGCCTCTCACAGACTGATTGTACTGAGAGTGTTAGCAATTAGAACTCCTAAAATGGATTTGCACAAATAAATTTTCAATTTTCTCTTTTACTTACTGGTTTATAAAATGTTGATTTGTTTAAAATGAAGTTGTTGACTGCTTTAAAAAGTTTGATAACCACTGAGCAAAAGTAATTATATTCAAATTATAGAGTTTCAAACATTTGCCAGAAGCTAAGGGAGCAGCTGGACTTTCCGCCTGAAACCTCATTAAGTAGGTGACTGTCTACCCTGCATATGGATACAACTGTCCAGGTACCCATCATGCAAAAGTTTATTTAAAAACTAATTAACATATTATATTGTCCAGACAAGTTTCAGTGATTTCATTCACATTTAACAATGCTACTCTTTTCTTTGGGCAGAATTTCCCAAAACCCAGCAAGGACTCCACTGATGGAAAATGAGATGGGTTAGTGGGTACATGGACGAAAATTTTAAAAGTTTAATGGTTTTATATTTACTATTACAGTTGTCTTCTCTTTGTGGTAAGAAATGCTGAGGTTTTTACTATCATATAATATAAATCAAAATTTCTTTTAAAAATTAATTCATTTAAGTAAAAATAGAGTAAAACAACCCACCTGATAATTTAGAAGATACTTAGATATTGCCAAAATGGTGAAGGTGAAGTCAGAAAGACTGACGTTCAGAAAACTACACTCAGCTGTTGCAGTTTTCACCACCTTGATAGTGTCTGCATAGCCCCATGTGGGATTACTTAATCACTTCTATGCATTTCACGAAGGCGGCATAGTGTTCATGGTTCTTGGTGCAGGCACCAGATTCCAGCTGGCTGGGCTCAAACCCCAACTCTGCTGCTTATCTGGACAACTTTGGGCAAGTAACTTCATCTCCTTGTACTTTAATCTCCCTATCTCTAAAATGGGCACAAAGAATGATGCCTTCTTCATATGGTGACTGTGAGGATGAGAAAAGACAGCCCAGATTAGAAGCTTAGAATAGGGGCCAGTCTGTAGCAAATGCCTAGTTAATGCTAGCTAATATCTCTCATGGAAACACTCAGGACAAAAAAAAAAAAAAAAAAAAATCAAATAAGTAACCCCACGTGGAAATACTTTACTGTAAACATTGTTTTTATTCTTCATCATCTTGGATAAAATTTACTATGTATCATTTCCCCCAGAATAAACTTTTCCATACACTTTGCACCAAACATCCTCATCCTACCCTATTTGATCTCTCTGTGCACTGTTGGGAGAGACTGTGTATCTGACTGGCTGTCAAGGAGTCTCTCTACTCAAGTGACTTTATTACTATTAATTTTGTTAACTCCCAGAAATTATGAAGAAAAGCAAAACAAAGCAATACAAACCAAATTGATCAAAGAGAATAAATGAGCTGATGTCTGTGAAAGCTTGGCAAAACTTAAATTTCTTTTGCCTCTAAAGATAAATATGGTTTCTAGCTCCAATGTCTTCATCTTTAAAGATGAGTTTTGGAAGAGCTCACTGGTGGTGAGTGCTAGAAGAAATGAGATTAATCTATGTGTGCTTTACATTATATTACCCAGATAATTGTATGAAGTATTTCAATATTAAGATTCTCACACTTTGTATACCTTGTGAAAGTTATTCTTATTTGAAAGTTGATGGCAATGGATATTTGTCATCCATTATTATCAATTTTTCTAGACATTTCTGTGGGTTATTTAGGGTAATTTAGAAAGCAGTGTTTTAAGTTGTCTAAATATAAATGCAATATTCATTTTAGAACTGTAGACGATATATTTGGCGTTCGAACACCGGCAAGCAGAACAATTTCCAAGCATTTAATTTCAGTGATTAAATCAATTAAATTTAGAAACGACAAAAGGATTTCATGCAGCATTATTATACCTGGTTGTTAGAATTGTTGAAAAAGATAATGGCATTTGAGATGCTGCATTTCACAAAAATATATGCATACACTAATACCATGATATTTTCATTGGTTGAAAATAGATAGATCCAAACATTTGCTACCTAGTAACCTTTAAGTAGATGTCTCAAAATGAGTTCCTAACTATGTTTTTAAACTGCTTCCTTTGAAATTTTTTAGCAATGTTAATGCAAATAATAGCACATGCTTAATAAGACTAAGTATCAAAATTGCTGTTAAATTTAAGATTACATCATATACCCGGGTATCTTAATGTGATGGCTCTAAGATTTTTTTCAAGTTATAATTTTAAAGTTTGTAAAAACTAATAAAAAGAAATTAGAAAATATAAGGCATATTTCTAAAATGTAAAAATAAAAATATTTTCAATATATAATACCAGGTACTCTTATCTTTTGTTTGGCTATCCTATAAAAGCATATACATTATCGAGACGCATTAATGAAATTTCTATTTGTCATAGTACTGTAAAAACTGCAGACACTGGTAGCTCCTAGAAATTTAAAAAGCACAAACTAGAAATATGAATAATATTTTAGAGGAACTGAGCCACTAGATGACAATATTTAGAACATATTTTCATATCCCTTCTGAAGCTATACAAATTACCTTTTCATGACCATCATTATTGCCCCCTTTCCCCTTGTTCAACAGTAAAATTTTAAAAATCTGATGTGCTGTATAATTTTAAAAACAAAATCTGACAAGCAGTATAATGCTATAACCTTTTACAGTAGAATTGGTAGGACTGCAAAGTCATTTTAAATTGAATATAAAAGATAAGTAATCATTTAAACAGAAAAGTGGTGTTTTCTAGTACATAAATGAAATCATCACCATTGATCATCAACTTCTTCATTCCTGAAAAGAACTTGAAATTAGGAAAATGGACAAAATCCAAAAAGGTACACAGGAATGGCAGAATAATGAGCAACTTTCTATCACCTAATGAATGTAGGGAAACAAGAAAAATGAGTTTTTAGCACCAGTCGCATTTTGAAAACTATACGGTTTATTAATCAATTTAATAGTTGCAAGGGAAAAAGGAAATGAATGTGTTAACTCGGGATTTTAATTAAGGCTCAGATTGTTAATCTTGTATGACTTCTGAGGAAGAATACCTTGTTTATTTTCAAAATTCTATATGCTATTCTAAAACCCTTCTATATTTCTAGCTATTGAATTTTGCAACTGCAGACAAGGTTAGAAAATACAAATGCTTTAATGGGTATGTTCTGTAGACCCTGATATCTGATATCAGTGTAAAATTATCATCTTATTTGTTTCTGTGGCACAGTTGTCCAATCCTCTGTCTATTGAAAATAGTGGCAGATCACCTACCTAGAGTAAGGCTGCATCTTAACTTTAAGTCAATTTAACATACGCAGTGGTAGAAATATAAAACAGATTTCCAAACTAAATAAATATTGCCTGATAACATAATGCTCAAGTAATTAAATAACACATATAGAGTATACCTTCTAATACTAGACACATAAAGTTTCCAAATATGAATCCATACACATTTCCTAAATATAAAGCTTGATAGCAATCTCGCTCTTTGAGGGTAATGATTTGAAGCTAAGGTGGTAGATAGCTCCCCAGAAAATTACAATTATTTTTTTCTATCATCAGGATATCTGACAATAAATTGGGGAGGATTTTTAAAAAACATAAGCATTAAAGGACTATTAAAAAGACATGAAATCAATTACAGAAAGTATGAAACATAAGTCATGGTTTTTTTTATTGATATTAAAAACCATTTTCCTTGTTCCTCCAGATAGAGAATAGTAACTGAGAAAAACTATAACCTAATTGAGAATAAAACTTCAATTGTACCATTTTGTGAAATGACATCTCACCAGCAATTTAAAGTTATACCAGAAGAGATATCAGGCTTTTATTTTACCTTCTTTATTTATATTTTGTTTTCTAATAACTTTAATGGATGTAATATAATGGCCACACTCTAGCACTTGATTCTTCTTGCACACATTTATCTAAGAAGGGTGATAGGAGGGTCCAGTGAACTGCAAAGAAACTTGTTTCTTGAAAAATCAAATCTCATCATCTACTAGTATTTGAGCTGTATGAATCTGAATTAAACAAAGCAGCTAACCATTGGAGTTCCACTGCCATGAGTTTAGTCTCCATGAATATAGTCTTTTATTATATAGAGCTAATTATCACATGAATAGTAGCTCCTTGGAAGTGTGAAGCCATTCCGTTTCGTGGAAATACATAGAAGCTCATATAGTTCACGAGTTCCACCACATTGAGAGTAATCATTCTCTTGGCTTAATGAAAATAGTTCCATTGTTCTTCTTTTAATAAATTCGAGTTTATCAACTCAGGTTATTATTTTAATGTCTGCTTTAGGCAAGGTTTGTTAGCTGTTGTACAGTATCAGATATTAATCAGATTAAGTATTGACGTCTGAATATCATAAGGTGACAGGCATTTGCAGGAAGATTACAAATCTACATGGATAAACATGACTAATTTAAAATAGCCCTGGGGAGCATCTTTTAGAAAGTTCAAATACCTGATGAATGCTGCACTGTTATTTTAATTATCCCATAATATGGCACAAAATAACAATCTCATTTCATCCTTTTATTTACAAAGCTGTTTCCATTATCATTATATTTTACCTGCTCAGGCTCTGAAAGATTACTCCTCGTTGAGAGATTCATTAAAAGAGAATAATTATATTATATTTCACAGATTGGCAGAAAGTAAATGTATCTTTGAACAATTCCATTTCCCTGAGCAGTTGTTCATTTCAGAGTTGAAGACAGGTCTATTAAGTACTTTCTACCCTTTTTAAACATGTCAAAGCTAACTATTAATACTGAAATTAGTAATTTGGCTCTGGTTTAATAAAAAATCAGCTGCTATTTGTAAAACTGAATTTCTGTGAATAAAACAAACAATATTTTCAAAAATACTGACTAACAAAGAACATTAAGTAATTTTATTTTGCAGAATATATAAATGCATGTCTCTTCTGATAATTAAAGCCCTTAGCACACTGTCTTGCTTTCCTACTAACGCTTCTTAACCCAAAAAGCTACATAAAACATATTTTCTTACTAAGTCTATGACATTCAAATTTTCAGAGTATCCTGTTAGAAGAATAGTAAGAGATGGAAAGTCAACTAGTATCAGAAAACATTCCATTTTTAGATTTACTGCAAGAACATTTCATGGAATTTGTGATAAAAAGTTTTATTCAAAATTAAAAAGTCATGTGCACAAAAATGTGACTTCCATATAAAATAGATTTGAGAAGTCATTTCATATTTTAACGTGTTTTTGCCATGAAATAACCTAACTATGTTCACTTGCAAGTAACTGAGGATGCTACTTATACATTTCTCTAGTAAGTAATTGAGCAAAAATGAAATATTGTGTTAATCAGTGACGGCTTTACAAGAATTTTTATACTTGGTGATAAATACTTTTTTCCCCAAATGTCCTCAGTATTTTTGTCTTTTTTTTCATGACATCACTTTGGCCAGCTCACCACGAGTGCAGTATTAGAATATCTAGTGAGTCTAGTGGGAAGCAAGGAGTCAATGCATCTTTTACTCAGTCTGAAAGTATGAAAATGCTCTTTTGATTTTAAAAAGACAGTAATTGTATCAAATTTAACAATTTAAAATGTGTGTAGGATTTGAGGAGCCCTCAGATATGCAATGAAGTAATCTGCGTGTCTCATTTTAAAAGTATGTTAACTAAAATATACTGACATATTAACAGTGGTGTTTTGAGTTGGATATTTTATACCTTTGTGTAGTTAGATATTATTTTCAATTCTTTGTTAATACATTTTCTCTTTCTTTTTAAATTACTGGAAACAGTTTCTTCCAAAGGTTTTCAATAAATTCCTTATTGTAATTGTTTTGTTAAGATAAACTATTCTAAATTTCTGTTTGCTTTTTTTTTGTTTCTCATTTCTGCTGTTTGTCTTTTGAATATTTTATATGTTATCTTTGTAAACATTACTTTTCATCCAAATGTTCATGTAAAAGTCAGCAATCAAAAAGGAACTATAACAGGTGTTTTCGTTCTTGAGGAATGAAATGAATGTGCTGTTTATGGTAGATACTGAAATTTAACTTCCTTTGCAATTCAAGAGCCATTCTGTTATCCAAAACATTTTTAAAAAATCAAAACTGAAATAAATGAATTACTCTAGGTATAAAAGTTGAATTAAACTAAAAAACAAAACTGATATTTGAAACCCCTGTGGTAGACTTTAGTACACATGAGTATTTACTAGTGAGTACTCAGATATGTCTTGTGTATATGTGTTGTAATAGAGTGTGTGTGCATGTGTGTGTCTGCATGTGTATTTATATTGTTAATGGGGACAAGCTAATAATGGATATGTAGATATCAAAATAAAGCATGGAATAAAAACATACTTGAACACAAATTATTTTGGAAGCCCTAATCAGAAAATCAGGCATGCAAAGTATCACTTCAAGAGGAAGGCGGGTTCGGTGGTGTTTTTGTTTTGCAGAGGAAGCTGATAGTAGGAAACAACAAAACAAGGTTCTCTAAGAAAACAAATCATTACGCCATTACCCCAAAGGAGAGGATGAAAATGTATAGTCAGGAGAAGGGAATTCCCTCTTTTGTCTTAGTTTTTTTTTTTTTTTTCTTCCACTAGTATTATCTCTTAAGAATAATGTTTTCTTCAGATTTCATTACTAGTCCTCCTCCAGGTGAGAATGTCCATTCTGTGGTGATTCCTGCCACAGTAGTTGAACAACCCACTCTTCTCGGTTGACCCTTGTAGCACTGCTGCACCTGACTCATGCACCAGAACACAGTAGCTTGGGTGGGAAGACATTAATTCTAGGACTGTACTGACTTTTCTTTTGGTATTTTTTGGTTTTCAGTCTTCCCAAAGGTGCATGATAAAAAATGAGTTATCATATTCCATGGGCAAGGGAAAAAAAGAGCAAATTAGTATCATATCAACTGGTTTATCAGAATGCTCAACTTACCCAGGCTGCCTTCCTTCAACTTTCTTTTCCACTTAGTAGCCGCTGATAGGGAAGACTTTTGACATGGACATTAAAAGCTACTGCCTTTCCTACACACAGCTTTTAGTTTTTAGTTTTGCGCACTATAAGTGAGAGATAACAACGTGCTAGCAGCCCTCGCTCTCTCTGGTCGCCTCCTCGGCCTTGGCATCCGCTCTGGCGATGCTCGAGGGGCCCTTCAGCCCGCCGCTGCGCTGTGGAGACCCCTCTCTGGGGCTGACCAAGGCCAGAGCCGGCTCCCTCTGCTCACGGGGAGGTGCGGAGCGGGAGGCGTGCGCTGGAGCCCGAGGTGCGTGTGGCGCTCGCCGGCAGGCTCTCCGTGGGCGCAGGCTCAGTGGACCAAACTCGGTGCGGCCAGCTGCCGACGGCTATGCTTGACGAGGACGAACTCCCTCTGGGCTGCCGGAGCGCCTGGGCTAGGTGCTGCGAAGTCTCACCGTGGGTGCCAGTGAAAGGTCAAACCGGCTGGGCTTCTAGGACAGGTGGGGACTTGGAGAACTTTTCTGTCTAGCGAAAGGATTGTAAACGCACCAATCAGCGCTCTGTGTCTAGATAAAGGTTTGTAAACACACCAATCAGCAATCTGTGAAAACAGAACAAGCATCGCTCTGTGAAATGGACCAATCAGCTCTCTGTAAAATGGACCAATCAGCAGGATGTGGGTGGGGCCAGATAAGGCAATAAAACCAGGCCATGGGTGCTAGCAGCAGTAACACGGTGGGTTCGTGTTGCAGTGTGTGGTGTCTTTGTTTTGTTGCTCTTTGCAACAAGTCTTGCTGCTGCTCACTCTTTGGGTCCGGTGCTGCTTTTATGAGTTGTAACACTCAGAGCAATGGTTTGCAGCCTCACTCTTGAAGCCAGGAAGACCACGAACCCACCGGGAGGGATGAACTCCAGATGCCCCCACCTTGACTGTGAAGGTCTGCTGCCTCACTCCCAAAGTCAGCAAGACCACGAACCGACCAGAAAGGAAACTCCGGACGTCTGAACATCAGAAGGAACAAACTCGGGACAGACCATCCTTAAGAACTGTAATACTCACAGTGAGGGTCCGTGGCTTCATTCTTGAAGTCAATGAGACCAAGAACCTACCAATGCCAGACACATAAGCACATGACTACAATAAGTTGTATGGTTAAAAACAAAAAAGAAATCTGCAATCTAATTATCTTTGCCACGTCAGTCTCATAACCTATACAAATGGGCATAAACATTTATGACTTTTCTACCTCCTTGTGTGATTTTTACAACTCTACATTTTAAACAATGATTAAGTAGAAATGTAAGATAAACTCTGTAAAATTTAAAATATGCACAAAGCTACCCATCTAGAATATTTGAAGCACATCCAAACATATAGCCCACATTTACTGCAGAGGTGAAGGAGCCATTTTCTAACTGCACCAGTAGCCCTTATAGAAATGAGTCCTGGCACCACAGAAGAATAAAAATAAATATCCATTTTTTAGTTTATGGAAAATTTTAAGTTTTCTAAAAAGTTATGATTAAAGTAGAGTCCTCATGACTGGACATCTTTAAGTCAGTTTTAATGAAGAGTTAGGTTCTGACTGCTTTCTGGTCCAGCTTTATGGATTGTTTTAATCAGATTTATGATGTGTTTTAATCTTCCTTTCTGAAGAAAGGGGCAATTCCTATTAAAATATTTGTCCCAATAAAAGTTGACTAAAGTTCATTCTTTTCAGGTATTGGGATGATTAGAACGCCTTATTTATGCAGGTAATTTCTTACTGTCTCGTCTGCTCATTTGTTGCTTTCTTCTTCATGGTGAATCGTGGGATATCGTATTTTCTTACTGCTTTCCCTTCCGTTGCACATCTACATCGCTCACTTTCTTAAGATTATATTGGCCAACAGCACTGATTCCCTCGGAACCACATAACCAAATCACCATGACGACCCTCACTGATCTAGAAGCAGAGACCATGTCACCTCAGCAAATAGTTCAGGTTGTACCTGCTGCTCTTAAATTTCTGATTTCTCGGTAGAGGTGTAATGCGTTTCTGGTGATGCACAGAGCTGTTCATAAGATCACTGTCTAAGTGGCTGTAAGGGAAAGTACAGGCTGCCTAAGAAATTAATGTGAGGTGTGGCTTGCTGGGGTGAAAATAAAGTGTAAGAGAAGACAGAGAACCGGTAATGGGCCCTACCTAAGCTGCAAAACTCTTTTCAAACAGATGCTTTGTGCGTGCCAATAGATGTGGCAATAACTGTCAACAAGATTTATGACACTTTAACATAGACTCAATACGAGAGGGAAGGTTGAAAGAGTTCTATGATTTTGTTTAAAGTTTAGTGTCTCCTGCTTCTGCAGCAACTCTTTCTAGGCAGAACTCTTGTCTCATTGCAGGACACTCGCAACTCTCAGGGAAACGTGCGGTCTCAGGACTTTGAATATGTATCTTGTTCTCGCATGTGTTATTGTTTTATTCTTGGTAGTGATTGTTGATGCTGCTATTTTTAAATTAAAAAGGAAAACATAACAGGGTAAAGTGCAGTATGTCTAGGTTCTTAGAAAGTGTAGAATGTATAATTATTGTTTTTTGCCACCTGGTAGTGAGCTTCCACCTCAAATGACGTTACTCATTCGTCATGGACAACCCTAGATAATTATGTCTTTAAGAGAAATAAATAAGTCCTTGAAAGAATAATTTTCTATTGTTCCGTTTCCATTGCTGCTGGTGTCGTGTCTTAAATCTGACATTATTTCTTTCTTTTCTTTTGTTTTCCTTTTTCTTTTCTTTCTTTCTTTTTTTTTTTTTTTTTTTTTTTTTTTTTGGTGGTGGTGGCTGTTGAGACAGAGTCTCATTCTTTTACCCAGGCTGGAGTGCAATGGTGCAATCTTGGCTCAGTACCACCTCTGCCTCCCGGGGTCAAGCAATTCTGCCTCAGCCTCCCAAGTAGCCGGGATTACAGGTGCATGCCACCATGCCTGGCTAATTTTTATATTTTTAGTACAGACTATTTTGCCATGCTGGCCAGACTGGTCTTAAACTCCTGACCTCCAGTGATCTGCCGGCCTTGACCTCCCAAAGTGCCGGGATTACAGGCATGAGCCACTGTGCCCGCCAAAACTTTCATATGTACATATAAAATTTACATATGGCTCTTTTACCATAAATGATCAGTAAATGAGGAGATTATGCTTTTATTAACATATTTATCCCTCAACTTAATGAATATCTTGATTAACTGCTGGTTTCTATCTTTTTCCTTCATTAGGAATTGTGTAAGATGAACAAAAGATTTTGTCTGGACTTTGAGGATTTAGTAAAATGGAATTCAGTTCTTGAACTGAGTGAAGTGATTACCCTGGTGTTAAATCTGTTGTTTTCTAAGGCTAATAGACAGGTGTTTTGAAAACCATTTTACAATGTTTCATGTATATTTAATGGACAGATAACAAGAAATAATCATGCCAGGACCAGAAATGTCAATCTTCATATAAGCCATTCACTCAGTAGTTTAATATGTGTCAGCCAATCTAATTTGTGACAACTCTTCTCACTCTACTCAAGCCCAAGTAGCCTTTTGGATACTCATCAAACATGTCAAACATGATATCATCTCAAAGCCTTTGCATTGATGTTCTCTCTACCTGGAATATTCTTATCTCAGATCTTAATATGACTTTCCGTGGCTTCACATGGCTTCTCACTTGCTTCTTTCAGGTCACTGAAAACAGGTCATTGTTAAAATATGCTCTCTTAGGAGAAGCTTTCTCTGATTCCCTGTCTAAAATATCACCCCATCTCCTCCCATTCCCTACTCCCTCTCTATGTGT